GGGGGGGGGGGAGTCAGCACTCATGATCTCCAGGAGTTATATTTGCTTCATTTACATATAGAATAGGTTTCAGTTTATGAGCTTATGTGTGAGTTTAAACGGCTAAAAAAACTCTTTATCTTCATCAAACAAAAAGTTTTGAACTTCCTCTTCAGAACTTCTGGCTCTGAACTCCCTTCTCCAACTTTTCTATTAAAAAACTCCCTCCAGGTCGGCAGAGAGGCTCCTCCGGGACTAACAGCCTTCCCTTCACCGTGAAAACTTGCTGTCAGACAAGACGTCTCATCAAGTTCTTCACGCATCTTCTAAAGCAAAGCTCAGACGCCATCCTTGCCTTTATCCGCGGCGGGTCCCTTCCTGTACCTTCCTGCCTCTCCGTTCAGGTGGCTGAGGGGGGCGGTGGGTGAAGTGTGGTGGGGCAGGAGAGGAGGAACAATGCAGGAACAGGTCAGTGTGAAAAGGACGAGGTTGAAGGAGGTGGTCTGTCTGATGAGGGCTGGGCGGTCTTATTCGATGACCATGCAGTGGGGCAGGTGCTGGGCGTAGTACTTGAAGAGCTCGGCGGTGGCTCCAGGACAGTTGGTCAGCTCCAGTTCTTCTAGCTCCTGCAGCTGGATGAGGCCTGACAGGCCGGTCGTGGTCAGCAGGGGGCAGCCTGACGAAACAAGACCACAAACTTTATTCATGAGCACAGCTCATCCAAAGGTCATCGGCGGACAAAATGCCATCATTCCAGCTTCTCTCTCGGTATTTCATTCTAACCTAAAGGTTAGGAACAATACCAGAATTTAACAAAGCCGCTCACAGTTCCTGTTTCAAAATAAAAGCTTTTCCTGGGTTTAATAATTATTTATTCAAGATTAATATTAATATATCTTAGTATTAATAGAATGTGCAATTTACTATTTGATACCCTTTGCAATAACCATATATATAAATATCAATCTTTATAAATACCAGTGTAAACACACCTGTATAATGATCCTACTAAATGATCCTTTGGCTCCTTCTTCTCCTTTGACAATTTGAGCTGATGGAACGAGTTAATTTATTATAATAATTATAATTATAATAAGATAATTTATTTATTTCAAAACATCAATCAATCAATAATATTAATTCTGACATTGGGGAACAATGTCTATTCTGATTTTTTTATAGGGGGATGAAGGTTTTCTCCTCTTTCCAAACCTTTGCAAGCTCCACTATCACAGCCTACTCCCACAGGGACAGATAGTCCTGCCGTCCCTACCGTGCTTGGGGACAAAGCTGTACTGTATGGACTCTCTATGCTGTGAATCTCCCTGAGGCTCAGCAGGAAGTAGGCGAAGGACCAGAATCTGCAGACTGAACCTGGTGGCTAACAGCTGCAATCAGACTGTTCAGCAACATTTCTCTCTGAGTTTACAAGAAACTTTAAGATGCCAGAGACCGGAGGAGTGCAGGATCTAAGAGGAAAGGAAACTGGAAACAACTCTTTCCAAGATGGAGATCAGCAGAAGCCACCAATGGGGAAATGATAGGAAAAGAGTTGTGCATGGCAAGCTAACAGGAAACTAATAGTGACTGCATGATAACATGTTTGAGCTGTTGCTCATGAAGCTAAAATAGGCTTGATTTGACTAAAGGTTTAAAGACGGGTTCTCTCAGTTAATAATGCAACGTGTGGTGCATTAATTAATTCCCTTTTAATTTTAAATCCCTTTTACATATATTTATGTAATTATATATGCACAGATTTATGAGTTGTGATCTTCTATTTTTTTAACTATAAAATGTTTAGTCTGTTTCACCTGCCTACAAATGCCTGAGTGAGAGGAGAGTTTGGGACATGAGATTCCCGTAAGAAACCAGATTCTTTCTCAAGGTTTTTTCATAACCTGTTATTGTTTAACCAAAGTGTCTGTAATGTGTTTTGGCTCCATTTCAATCATTATAAGGAAGGAAGACAAACAGTCTAGATCAGACATTTGCTTGTTTTAACTCATAAAATTGCATAATTATTCTGGTGAATTTCTATATTTTCTGGCCCCTTACATGACATCGGACTCCTGCACCCAGAGCTGAACGCAGCTTTGTTTTCATACTACCTCCCTCCACAGCGCTGACGTCACAGTCGTCTGTTAGAAAGTGCTGCTCATTGACAGGTTTATAGAATTATTTAGCATCAAGGCTAGGCTAACTGCATGCAGAGAGGCTAAGCCTGTATTCTGCTTTCCCTGCCTCCTTTTCAAAGGTCAGGATCTGACCCAGCATGGATAAAGACAGGACTGATTTAAAGCACTTTGCAGAACATTTTAAAATGCTGTTTTTTGTTATTGGCATTCATATAAATAGACTAGTGTAAAACCTTAGTATACATTTGATTAGTTTTTGGTCTATGTCTATTTTCAAGTTATATCGCCCCCTGGAGAAAACTCCACCAGCCACCACTGCGTCTTACAGCTTCTCTTCACTCAAGGTCAGAGACGTATTTGTTGAGTAAGCAGCTCCGTCTGTCTCAGTGGTCGTGTTAAGACTCTTCACTGCAATTGCCTGCTGAGGGCGCCAGTGTAAGGCAGCCTCACAGCTGTCAATGTGACCCAGGTCAGCTGTGTGCCCCAGGTCAGCAGTGTGCCCCAGGTCAGCAGTGTGCTCCAGGTCAGCTG